GACCAGCAGGTCCCCATGTTCCTGTGACTCCGGGATCGGATGACGCCGGCAGGCAGGGCCCTGTCCGCCCGGCCGGAAGCGGTGAGGGAGCCGGCATCTGACAGGGCTGCCCGGAGGTGCATTCTGGGCCCCTCCACGGTCACCCGGTTTCCCAAACTAACCGTGGCGAGGAACCCCAGGCTGCCGTCGGTGCTTCTGGGGTGGCTGTGCACGCACCCCACCCTGGTGCACGCGGGTGCCCCCATGGTGTCTGCCTGGGTTTGACTTTCTCGCGGTCCCCTTCCCTCCTGTGCGGGGTCTGTGGTCCTCACGCTGCTCGGGGGGTTGGGGGGGAGGGAGAGAGAGAGAAAGAGAGAGACAGACACTGGTCTCAGGAAAGACGTTGTTCCGAGGCTCCAAGGAGACCCCTGACTTGGGCCAGAGCCTCCCGGGAGCGCGTGGCTGTCAGGAACTGCTTCCAGCCTCGTGCCCTCAGCCCTCTCATTGCACAGCCGGGACCCAGGCTCCGGGGCGCGGAGGCCGGCCAGCCTGGCACCTGACCCGTGTGTGCCCGGGCGCCGGGCGCTCTGTCAGGGCATCCATGATAGACTGATAGGCTGTGGTCCCGGTGAGGGTGGCAGTCCCGGTGTGCGCCTCCGCGGGCCGTGCCACAGCGCCCGCCGGCCGGCGCCTACGAAGGGTTTCCATCTGACTCACTCTGCCGAGAAGGGACAGGACCCGCTGTGTTCTCAGGGCACCACGACCGCCGCGCCATGCCTCTCCCTGCGGGGGCGTGGGGCGTGGGCTTCCCCCGGAGAAAACCGCTGCTTTTGAACAGGCTCCGAACGGAACTCTCTTGCTTTCACTAAAGTTAAGAGAATAATAACTCACCCAGCACCCCACTTAAAAAAAAAAAAAAAGAAAGAAAAAAGAAAGGAAGGAAGGAAGGAAGGACCCCTGGCTGGGTAGCTCAGTCGGTTAAGGCGCCATCCCAGTGTGCCATGATTGTGGGTTCGATCCCCAGTCACATACAAGAAGCAACCAACGAATGCATCGATAAGTGGAACAACAGATTGATGTTTCTCTCTGTGTGTCCCTCTCTCAAGTCAATAAAATAAGATAAAAAAATATTGCTACTTAAAGGAAAAGAAAGGAAAAAAGTCTAACATCAACCCACACAAAGTCTGTGTGTCCAGGCTGGGATCAGGACTCGGCAGTGCCAGGCGGGCAGAAGGAAGCCGGTACTGCCCGCCCCTGGGCAAGGCCAGGAGTCCTCCTCCATCCCCCCGGGGCTGCGGTACCCAGTACCCAGTCCTTGTCCCACTGCCTCCTGACCCTGGCAGAGCCTGGGCAGCCGCGGCTTCACACACACGCGGCCAGTGCTGAATGCGCCTCCGAGAACTCCCGGTGGTGCTGGGAGCTCACCGGGGACTTCCCAGGAGCCGCCTCCGGGAGGGAAGCCGTGCTCCGAACTCCGTCCGAAGAGGTCCTCGGTCGAGGCGGGTGAGGTTCTTATCACCGATGCGCAGCCGCTCAGAGCAGAGGTGGGAGGGGGGAGCCCTGCCCCCACCAGCAGGGGCCCGAGGCCGACGCGCCCAGGCCCCTGAGCCATGGGCCGGGCCGCCGATGGCCCCTCGGGGTCCCCGTGGTCCAGAGCATGACAGGGACGGGCCGAGGCGCTGCCCCGTCCCCATGCCCAGCCCCCGTCGGCGCCGAGGCCCAGAGTTTGTGGACGGCCATGTGTTTGACAGCCCTCCCCGCGTCCAGTCACCAGATGGCTAAACAACCTGCCAGCGGTATGGTATGCAAACATTTCCCGTCATTGTCATGGGGCTGCCATGCTGACACGAAGGAGGAATTCCTCGGAGCATCTCGCCATCAAGAGCCAGTCGGGCCGAAACCGGTTTGGCTCAGTAGATAGAGCGTCGGCCTGCAGACTCAAGGGTCCTAGGTTCGATTCCGGTCAAAGGCATGTACCTGGGTTGCGGGCACATCCCCAGTAGGGGAGGTGCAGGAGGCAGCTGATTGATGTTTCTCTCTCATTGATGTTTCTAACTATCTCTCTCTCCCTTCCTCTCTGTAAAATTAATAAAATACATAAAGAGAGAGAGAGAGAGAGAGAGAGAGAGAGAGAGAGAAAAGAGCCAGTCGGGACATAGACTTCCTGGCTTACACACAACCGTTTTATTGATTCGCGCACCATGTGGCAGCTCGGACAGGATGGGGGACAGCACGCTGCTCCCCTGTGGGTGGGAGATGCACTGGGAGGTGGAGCTGTGTGGTAAGGGTTCTGGAAGCAGGTCGGATGGATAGCATGAAGACGCTCTCATCATGGGCTCCGTGTGTGATTGGGACTCCATTTCCTGCCCGTCACAGAACTCTATTCTTACCTTGTGAAACGGACACTCTGTCCCCGTGAAACATGGCGGCCAGGCCCTCCCACCCCCGTGCCCGCCGTTCCACTTCCAGCCTCTGCCAGTCGGACCCTCTGGGTCCCTCACGTGAGTGAAGTCACAGCGGCCGTTCTTGTGTCTCGCTTCTTCCCCTTGGTGCAGAGCCCGCTAATCCACCCATGAGATAGGATTTTCTTCCTCTTTGGGGCTGCGTAGGATTCCCTGGGGCGGCTGGGGGCCACACCCCGTGGATCCACTCTACATCCACGGACACGCACGCGCGCGTGCACACACACACACACACACACACACACACACACGCATTTCCCCGTGTCCTGCTGTGCACGTGGGCACTCGTGTGCTAATACCCGTCCGAGCCCCTGCCTTCCCGAGACCTGGGTCCACGCCTGGCACGGTGGCCCCTCCGCTGTGTCCCATGGGTTAGGACAGGCCGTGGGGCCAGACGGGATTCCCAGGCCATGGCTCATGGTGGAGTGGTCCCCAAAGGGACCGTCCGCCACAGCCGTGCTGGGAGATCTCCGCAGACGCACCCGGTGGATCCTCGCACCAGCCCACCCAGGCCCGGCCCCGCCTCCAGGTGCCCGGACTCCAGGGCCCCTCGGACCCGCCCCAGCCAGCGCCCAGGGCCCTCCCGGGGGGGAGGGGGAGGCTGCCACAATGGTGGGCTGCGCCTCCCGTTACATAACCTGTTATTCTGCACCGCTCCAGGCCCGCTACTTGTCAGAAGTTTCTGGAAGCCAGCTGTAGGAGCTCCAGGCAACTGGGGGTTGGGGTGGGGGGGCTGCCTCTCCCTCATAGTATTAGTCACTCTGTACTCGGCTAAATTTAACTTTTTATCATCCAAACGATATTTTTGTGCGCCTGGGATTTTACATAACGCCACCAACTGCTGTGGGCTGTGTGTGGCTCTGTGTTGTTAGGCGTGTGTGTGTGTGTGTGTGTGTGTGTGTGCGCATGTGGGGGGTGTCTCCCCGTGAACTGCTGTCTCCCCATGAACCGTGCGCCTCCCCGTCCCGAGCTCCGGGGCCGGCCCTGGCTCCCTCGGGCTCCGGCCGCTCGGGGAGGAAGCCTCGCCCTGACAGCGGCTAATGGCCCGGCTAATGCTTCCTCCTCCCCAGGGTCTCCGCTGCCTCCGGCAGGCTCCGGGAGAGCAGAAGGGCGTCCGTGGAGAGTGTCTGTCGAGAAAGTAGAGAGAAGGATCTGGAAAAGGTGGGTGGGGGGGGACGTTGGCAGGAAAGGAACAAGGTATAAGAAATCCAGCCAGCCGGCCCGAGGCGTGGGGTCCAAAGTGCCCGTGGGGGGCAGGTGCAGGGGACTCTGGACTGCGGGAGAAGCAGGGAGACCTGGCTTCTCCATGGGATGGGGGGCAGGAGGGCCTGGAGCAGCCATCCCTCCTTCCTCCCAGCTGCTCAGAAGTGGTAGCACTTGGGGTGTCACCCGGGGGTCCCCGGTGTTCTCCACGGCACCTGGGGGGAAACCGAGGGCCCACTGAGCGCTCACCGTGCGCCTGGCTGGGTGCCGGCGCTCACGCCCACCAGCTCGTGGGCTCTCCATGGCCCTTCCGTGGAGCAGGAATGTGTGACGTGCTCTGTGACAGGACAGGAAACTGAGTCCCAGAGGGTCGAGCATATGGGACGTCGCTCGAGGCCACAGCACACGTCAAACCCTGCTCCCTGCCTCCTCCCACAGGCTGTCTCGGGATAAAGCAGGGTGAGGACTGTCGCTGGGAGGGGGGCTGGGTGACGGGGAACAGGGGCGGGAGAGGCTCACCCTGCACCCTGCCACCTTCTTAAAAATGCAGGTGCATTACTCGTCTGTTGTTTTATTGAAAAATCGGGAATGCCTAGGTCTATACCCAAATAATTGAAAGCATGCGTCCACAAAACACAAGGCCACAGCCCTGGCCGGTGTGTTCAGTGCTTAGCACGCTGGCCCATGCACCGAAGGGTCACGGGTTCAATTCCTGGGTGGCAGGGTCGATCTCAGTCCAGGTGCGAGTGGGAGGCAGCCCATCAACGCATCTTTATCCCATCCATGTTCCCCTTTGGCTTCCTCCCTTCCACTCTCTGAAAATCAAAGGAAACAGTATCGGTGGGTGAGGATGAGTAAGAACATACCGGCCTCGCACATACATGTTTACGCAGCATCATCCACTACAGCCCATGGTGTTGCACCATGGATGACTCAATAAGGGGGTCCCTCCACCCAGAAGAACATGACTCAGCTGTGAAAAGGAACGGAACCCTGACCCCTGCTTCGGCGTGGATGGACCTTGAGAACATGAAGCTGCGTGAGAGATGACAGACACAGAGCGGACACATGTATGATCCCATTGATAAGAAACGTCCAGCTGCAGCCAATAAAGCAGACCATGCTCTTTCCCCATGGGGGCTTGGTGTGCAATGGCTGCAAACAGCAGCATCCTTGGTAGTGTACGCAACCTGTTGCTAGTATGGGTTGCCATAAGGGACCTTGGATACAGCCCTTTCTGGTGGACACTCGTGTCTGAACTCATGCTGCCCTCAATCTAGACTCCAAACGGGTATGCGGGGTGCCTTTGGAAAGCCCTAGGGCACAGTGGCCAGAGTCCACATTGGCCACGTCATCATGTCCATCCGCACCAAGCTGCAGAACAAGGAGCATGTGATTGAGGCCCTTCGCAGAGCCAAATTCAAGTTCAAGGCCGCCAGAAGATCCCACATCTCCAAGAAGTGGGGCTTTACTCAGTTTAATGCGGATGAGTTTGAAGACATGGTGGCCGAGAAGCGCCTCATCTCTGTGGATGGCTGTAGAGTCAAATACATCCCTAATCACGGTCCCCGGGACAGATGGCGAGCCCTGCACCCGTGAGAGTCTCAGTGCTGCCCCTACCTTACACCCACCAGTAAATCAACTTTCCATCCAAAAAAAAAACACCACACAAACAAACAAACAAACGTCCAGCCCTCACTGGTTTGGCTCGGTGGATAGAGCGTCGGCCTGCGGACTGAAGAGTCCCAGGTTCGATTCTGGCCAAGGGCATGTACCTTGGTTGCGGGCACATCCCCAGTGCGGGGTGTGCAGGAGGCAGCTGATCGATGATTCTCTCTCATCGATGTTTCTAACTCTCTATCCCTCTCTCTAACTCTGTAAAAAGGCAACAAAATATATTTTGAAAAAAGGAAAAGAAATGTCGAGAACAGGTAAACCCTCAGAGACAGAAGGCAGGTTAGGGGTGGTCGGGGGCGTGGGAAGGGACTGCCTAATGGTGCTGATGGGGGTGGGGTTTCTTTTTGGGGGAGGGACATGCGCTGGGACTGGATCGTGGTGATGGCTGAATGATTGACGAATGGACCAAGTGCCTCTGACAGTAGCCTGCAAACAGTGACTGGCAGGACACGAAGCGTCTCAGTCAAACAGATGAGCCGGGCCTTCTGGTGTCCTCAGCAGCCCGGATGGTCGCTGGCGGGGTGACCCCTAGCATTTGCCTCCGTCCCCCTCTGCCCAGGCTTTTGCCACCTGCCTCCCGGTCGCCATGCCAACGGAGAAGGGAAACAAAGGTCTGACTGCGGGCACACCACCCGCTCGCTTGGAACGCGGGCATCCCACCAGCCTGAGGCACACGCACGTCTGGGCACGCCTGGGCTGGCGCCCCGTCAGGATGGCATTCGTTAAGTGCGCTTGGCATTTGTTTAGGGGGCCGGGCAGAGGCCAGTATCCTATTCATAGAAGCGGCATGAGAGCCGGACCTGTGCACTCGGTGGGAACAGTCCCGGGACGATCCTCAGGAAGGAAGTCAGGGTCCCGTTGCCAGAGGTCCGTTCAGTGTTTGTCGCCGTCGGTCGGTCAGTCGGTCGGTCGTTTGGTTGGTTGGTTGGTTGGTTTGCGCCCCAAGTTTCCCCAAACCACGGGAAGAGGGAGGCTGGAGACTCGGAGGAGAGGTCTCGTGTGTGACGTAATTCCACGGGGTGCTGTGCTGGGAAGTGAACTTGGCCGACAGCAGGACTGGCCTCAGCCCTCCCTGCCCCCCACAAAAGGTACGTATGGGGGTGGTGGCTGTGCTCCCTCAGGACGGGAGGAGCCTCTGCAGGACGGATGTGGATGGCAGGTCCTCACATGAGGCAGGTCAAGCAGCAGGGCGTGCCCCCAAAACGCACGCACCCTGCGACAGCCGACAGACAGCCCGATGCTGACAATGAAACCTGTGTTTGAATGAACCCTGCCTTTGAGATTCCTCGAAGTTGGGTAAACATTTCCTGGGACACCCTTCCTGTTACGATTTTATTACAACGCCAGAGGCCCGACGCACAACGTACCTGTGAGCAGGCTTCCTTCCTCTGGCTGCCGGCACCGGTTTCCCTCTGGCACCCGGGACCCCGGCTTCGCTTGCAGCCCAGGCTTCATCTGGAAGGTCGTCTGAGCATATTATGCATTTATTATTATAGATAGTACAACATTACCATTATACATCAATCCGATGGGGAGGGGCAGGAAGGAATAAAATGTGGTGTGTTTTTGTTTTTTTTTTTGGTTCCCAGTGAACAGCAAAACACGTGTGTTGTTTAGTATCAGGACCACCCCCCACGACTCCCCAGCGAGCCCAGACCTCAGCACAGACCGTGTTCTCTTTGTGTCTCTCCCCTGCAGGGAGCGGGGATCAGCGTGTGGGGTCACCTGGCAGTGTCTCCTGTTCTATTCCCCGCCGTGTTCCGCCCGCCCGCAGGGAGCCGCTCCCTCCCTCAGCGGGCTCCTCGCTCATTTTTTGTTCTGCAAACGCTTTTGTCAGAGCAGTGGTTCCCCTGCGTGCACCTCTGTCTCCCGCGGGGATCTGCCTTTTCCCTGGCCCTGCCCGGCTCATTCTGCGCCGTGAGTCAGCGACTCAGCGACTCAGCGTGGACTTCTCACCCGGGGAGCACGCCTTGGTTGGTGTGTTACGGGGCCAACCCTAACCTCTAGCGTGGGGGACTTGCAGGGACCTCGAAGATGGGTCTGCGGGGGAGGGGGTGGGGGCATTGTGCTGAAGCTAAGAAACAGCGTGGAGAGCCGGGCAGCGCAGGGCGCGTGTGCGGGGAGCTGTGGGCTTCGGCGTGGAGGGAGAGGCGCGGACGTTCTGTTCATGCGGATCCTCATTTGTAGTGATTGTTGTCGCGACCATGGCTGTGGACGGGAGAGGCGGGTGCAGGGCCGAGGTGGGGGCTGGGTTCCTGCAGCCCAACCAGGCCCGTCCCAGCAAGGAGTTTGCAGAATTGGCGGTGCCTCCCGGCGTGGGCTGCGCCGGACGGGGGCGGCCTGTGAAAGCCGGCCCTGTGCTCCAGCCACACCTCCCACGGCTGCGCCTCCCTCCTCACCTCCCCAATTAGACGCTCCCTCCCCGGAACGAGCACGGTCTGTCCTCACTCGCGGTTCATCGTGAACTGCTGTCTGCAGCCTCGGGCCGGTCCTCCTCTTTCAGCTGGCGGGACTGCTGGCCCCTGGCAGCTCGGGCCGGTCCCCGGACCTGGCCGCTGGCCTCCGGCCTGGAAGAGGTAGCTCTGAATCAGTCCCTGCTCCTGCAGCTCGAAGGGGCTGCCTCTGGTCCTGGTCCTGGGAAGGGCCTCCCGGGGGCTGCCTGCTTCCCGGGCCAGGAACAGGGGCTCCGTGGTCAGACAGACAATGTGTGGAGCTGCTGACATGGGCCCGGGCGTCTCTGTGGGAGCCCAGGGCGGGGACCTCCTGCCGCCTGAGGCTGATGGCACCCGGGACTCCCTGCAGGCCCACGCCTGGACCTCCTCCCCGGCTGTGGCTGCTCCTCTGGCTCTGGGTCTGCAGCCACACGCTGCCAGGGTGCAGGGGCTGATGGGAGGGTGGGAATCTGTCATTTGCTTCGCCCACAATGCAGACCGTGCCCTGCCCTGGGCACCCCAGCTGCTGACCCCAATGCCCGGCTGCTTCCCCTCTCCCACCCCCCACCTGCCGAGGGGCGGTGGGGAGGCCTCAGGTGGAGGCGGAGCTGGGAGCGGGGGCCTCTTGTCGTCAGAAACCTCTCCCTGTGCCGGGTGTCGGGGGTGTGGGCCCAGGGTCCCCTGCCCTGTCCTCTGGGCACAGCCGTGTCCCCGGGCCCTGGCCTTCGTTGCTCAGGACGAGGCCCGGCCTCGGCGGTGTCCGGGCGGGACTGGCGCCGCGTGGTCAGAGCGACGGGGAGCCTCACCGCCGCCCCCGGGCTTCTCCTTGCAGGATGCTGGCCCTGCGTCCCGGCCCCCGACTCCCCGCTGAGGGCCTTGTCCGCGAGCCGTCCCGCCCGGGACCCCGAGGGAGCCTTCCCACGCCGACCTGCAGGTAAGGACCGCCCCGGCTTTGAGGTTTAGGGGGTGCACAGGCTCTGTTGCCATGTGCTTCCTTCCTACGTCTGGCTTTGTCTGGGTACCACGGGGGGGAGCGGGTCATCCACCCGCCTTCTGGCAGGTACTGAGGGCTCCACAGGAAGCGGGAAGGTCGGATGTCCGTCCGCAGCGGTCGCTTCCACATCCCGTCTCCGTCCGTCCGTCCAGGGCGTCCGGGGCCTCCCTCCTCTCGGCTCCCCTGTCTCAGCCAACGGGGCGGGACCAGGGCGGGGGCTCCCCAACCTCCGCCGTGGGCGGGAGCTGGCTGTGACCGAGCGTGGCAGGCGTGCTCGGCGACACGGGAAGGCCATGCGTGTTTTCCCGTGACCCGCTCCCCAGAGGAGAGCTGAGGGGCCGAGGTGGAGGTCCTCGGGAGCAGAGCTGGGATCCCAGGGGCTTATTTGCTCTTTCTCTCCCTCCGCCCCGAGGGAAGAGCGGGAGCCGGGTTCCCCTTGTCCGTCCTGGCGGCCCGTCTCACCTCCCGCGTCTCGGGCCCAGGCCTCCCCGGGGCCTTGGGCGGCGGAGCAGCGAGGGTGATGCCTTTCCTTCCTAAACCCCGAGGAACCTCCTCCTGTGTGCTGACCGGCTAGACGGAGGTTGGGGGACCGAGATGGGGATCCACCGGGAAACGGGGTGGGGACGGCTGGCTGGGCAGAGCGCACAGCGCCCGGGCAGGAGCCGGGACCGTCCCGTTTCGCACGAGGAAGCCGAGGCCCCGAGATGCCAAGGACCTGGCTCGGGGCCACGGGCGGGTCAGTGCTGGGCTGGGGCATGTGGCCAGGTTTATGACCCAGCCCGGACTTCCCTGGGGGGAGGGGGCGGGCTCCAGGCGGGTCCGGTGCCCGCTCCGGCCTCCCCTCCTTCCCGGGAGCCGGCCGGCACCCTGGGCCTCTCCCCCTGCTCACGGCTTGTTCCCCGCTGGCACGGAGGCTGTCTTCCTCTCTGATTGCTCATTCTCCTCAGTTGCCGCAAAAAGGCCGCGGGTGCGAAGGAGGGACGGGCTGCCTTGTACGTTTGTGTTTTGTCTTAATCTGCTCTCCAAGGTGGTGTCTCCGCAGAGAGGGGCGGGCGGGCGGCTGTCTGGGCCCGAGTTCAGCCCCTCCGAGGTCACCTGCTGGGTGGGAGCACTTCTCTGCCCTCAGCCGGAGCCCGGCGCCATCGCGTTGCCCCGAGGGCCCTCCTCCTGCTGAGCCTTTGCTTCCTTTCCTCCCCCGCAGCTGCTCCCGGGATGGGGGACCCCGGAGGGCACGGAGGGCGGCCTGGCCACTCATCTTCCTGGGGGGCAGAGGGGTCCTCTCCCAGCATTCCTCAGCTGCACGCACGGATCCCACGGATGTTCATGGCCCCCTCAGTGCCCGCCGGGAGGGTGTCAGGAGCTGGGACGCAGCTGTGGTCCTAACAGAGGGAAGTCCTCGCCCCCTGCCGCCGGCGAGACCTGGGTGGGCCCAGCGCGCTCTCCGCCTCTCACCTCTGCGCGTGGCCTCGGCTGTTCAGAGCCCCCGCTTCCCTCCT